TCCCATGAAAGCCAATGTATACGCCGAGAAGTCTCACTAACACCCTAACCATTTTAATGAGAATTTCCTTACCCGCTGCGCTTAAGTGTTTATCCTTCTACCCTAGTAGTTTCTTCCAGAGACGATCTTTAATGTGGGCAAAGCACTCCTAACATTTAAGCCCAAGAACTATGGGGAGCCCCAAATACCGGTCATGGACGTTAACCCGATTAACACCTAGGTAAGCAGCCAACTGGTCCTGAATGTCGTGCCTTATATTCGACCTGAAAGAAACAACACATTTTTGGAAATTTATGCATTGTCCAGACGCCCGCTCGTAAAGCCAAATAATTTGTTTAAGATACCAACATTCCTGAAATGAGCTCGGGAAAATAAAAAACCGTCATCTGCGAACAGTAAATGTGTAATACTCGGAGCCCCACAACATAGACACACCATATATACAACCAAGCTGATCATATTTGGCAATAAGATTCGTTAACCCTTCAATGCATAAAAGGAATAGATACGGAGAAATGGGGGTCTCCCTGCCTTAGCCCTTGAGAGGGAGTAATGTACCCTGTAATAGAACTGTTGATTAGGAGCGTATCAAACCCAAGCTTAAGCATCATGCGCATGAATCCCTATTCCACATGATCATAAACCTTGCTCATGTCGAGTTTCAGTGCTAAAAATCCCTGCTTACCTTGTCAGAGATTACAAAGATAATGACCCACTTCTGAAGCCACTAAGGAATTATCAGAGAATAACCAACCTGGCACAAAGGCGCCTTGTTGATCAAAGGTAATCAAATCCATAATTCCTTTCAAGCGATTAACTATAACCCTAGCACCGATTTTGTACAGCGCATAACATAATGCAATCGGACGAAGTTGCGTCATATTTTGTGGCTCAGCAATTTTGGGAATAAGAGAGACCATCGTATCGTTCAATTGGAGAAAAGTACTACCTGAGGACAAAAAGGATTTCATTGCGCATACTACATCCACTCCGACAATGTCCCATAATTTTTGGAAAAACAGGTGAGGCATACCGTCCGACCCTAATGCCGTGTGAGGATCCATTTGAAACAAAGCCTCTTGGATTTCCACATCTGAATATGGAGCTAGTAAGATTCAATTCAGCTCTAGGGTAAGATGATTTTGGACTGAATTCAGGACATCATCATAAGACGCATTCCCAATCAATGCAAACATATTTGAGAAATAGTCCGTCACTAGGTGAAGTCTAGTTTTATTGTTTGACTTCCCTTGTCAAATGTTGTAAATTGTACCACACATGCCCTAGTTAGATTTAGGGTTTAAATGCTTGTCTAAGATCATGCTAATGGAAATATTCATCTCAAGAACTTAAATTCTCACATAAAAGGTTTGTTCATTCATATGCATTTCATGCCATTATTTCCAGTTCATTTTGACTCGTCAAAACTTCTCGCTGCTTTCACACGAGCTAGGCACACACTTTAAGACAACCCACATGGGCTTTCTGACAGCTTTTTCCCTAAGAGCATTTTTCAACTCTAGATCTTTCCAGATTATTTTTGCACATGACATGTGGCTTTTCTTGCCCCTTTTCTTGTCTGAAACAAAGCCCTCTATGAATGCTTCATCTAGGGTTTTATTTTCACTTGGCTAGGAGATTTACATTTTTCTGATAAGAGTTGTTTTTAGCTTGGAGCTGCCTCTTTATTCTCACTTGAAAACCCTAGCCACAAAAGCACACTCATTCACTAAAAATCAACTTCGTTGCATATTAGGGTAGCATTGTTTTTGTGATTTTGGTCTTTGTTTTAGGTCAAGTTTTTCTAATTTCAAATCTTTGAACTAACCTCTTTTTGGATTCGCATCAGTTTCATCTTTCAAGTGTTTAACTGGTGAAACTGAATAGACATCGAATCCATATTTGCATCAACTTCATCATAACATCATTTGCATAAGTTGATTGATTTCAATGCCACAAGGTGAAGAGCTCAAGAGGAGCTGCCACTTCGTGAAGACCGAAGGAATCTATCTCATGAAGGGGCAAGGTTGCACAAAGGTAAAGTTGTTCCATAGATTAGGATCTAGGAATTAAGCTTGTGTGGTTACTTTGTAAGAATCTTGATTTCACTAGTGGATTGGACTTAGTGGAGAGTCACTGGTTTTTTTAACCCAGATGTGGGTTTTTCCGGCCAAAAACATCTTGTGCATTTTATCATTTTTCTGGTTTACTTATCTTACCTTTTGCTTGTGATATATGTTCATCATTATTTGCAAAGAGATAAATCCATGCAACTAAGATTGTCAAAGTTAAAGTGTGCGCTGAAATATATCTTAGTTAAGTAAGAGCATTTTAGTAAACTGAGCTTTAATTTGACCACTTCCGCTGTGAGTAAACTAACATATTTGATCTTAGTTGATGAGTGTTGCTAACTAGTCAGACAAGCATGTATATAGATTTTAAATTGCAGGTTATTCCACCTGGTACCAATTTCATGCTACCTTCTAAATAGAATCAGCATTAGTCTGCCAAATACCATTACCATCAAATAGACCTTTGATACTATTTTTCCTTCGGCAATTGGAAGCCTTTTGATGAAAGTAACAGGTGTTTTTATCCCCCATCATGTAACCAAGCTACCCTGGCATGTTGCCTCAAATGTGACTCTTCCTGAGATAGGAGAGATTCAAGGTTACTATGGAGGGTGCAACCTAAATGTAATACCCTGAAATTTAAAAATATATGAATATGTGGAGAAAATCGAAAATAGATCGATTTATGGTTATGAAAATTTAATTAAGAAATTTTAAAATTTTGTTACTGGAAATTATTATAATTTACGTCGTAAAATTTATCGATAAGTGAAAAAGATGAAAATGGCCCTATTGTATTAAACGGGATTGTTCGTGGACATATTTCATCCTTTCATGATTTTTTCAGATTTCTTTGCATATTTGGGTCGTACTGGTCTATACGAACGCGTGGGCGCAAACAGAATGTAATTTGGAGTTATAATGAATAAGAAAAAAAAAAGGAAGAAGAAGAAGAAGCTACCAGATGGCAGAAGGAGAGAGGGGAAAAGAGACAGTTGTGGGAGAGAAAAGGAGAGGGAAGGGCCATTTACAGCTGGCATCCACTTTAAATGACACTCCATTTCTGCGTCACTTTTACCATGTAGGGTTGTGCAAAAGACTGCAGCGAGTTTATGCTATGTAGTGCTTTTTGGTCACAACTTTCCTCAGTGGTGACGTTGCCGTGTGGTGATGTGCAAAAGATTGCAACGGGGTTTTGTAGAAGTTGTTGCTGTCATTCATACTGTAGACCACGATGTGGTCCGTGCGGAAGTGGGATAGGAGATGGAAGCATCACGACTTCAAGGTGTTCTCTCAAAGCAGGAAGCTGCATATTCTCAGCATCAAGAGGAGATTTTACGCCTAGAGCAAGGGAAATGTGCGGCCATGGAAGTGCCCACCTTGTCTCGCATCAATGTGGAGGCTTTGAAGACTTTGGAAGGCTTGCTTGAAGATCATCGCCGTATTTGTAGGGACACAGCTTTCAAATGGTGTCTTCCATTTTTTGTACAAGCCCCTTATTTTTTTTCTTTTTTTTTTTTTTTTTTTTGGGGCAATAAGGCTTTGTAGCCAAATTCTTCTTTTAAAGAAATAAAGTATTCATATTTTGAATTTGCTATTTATTCTTGGAAGTGTTTGTGTTTTTTTGTTAATGATGCAACTGTACTTGAAGTTTTGAAGTTTCAAGTTGCCTACATACCATAGGTTGAGGAGGGATCAAGTCATAACGTAGTTCAAATGAGCGATGGACTGCTTTTGATGGTTTTAATGGTGATGATTTTGATGATGATTTTGTCGTGCACAGTTTATGCTCTTACGGGCCATGAGCATTTGTTATCGCCTTTTACGCTCGTGCGGACAAGGAGTTTTTGGTGCCATTTGTAGTTTCAGCTCGTGCAGGCAAAGAGCTTTTTGTGCCATTTGCAGTTTCAGCTTCTGCAGGCAATGAGCGTTTGTTGTCACCTTTTAAGCTCGTGCGAACGAGGAGCTTTGTGAATTTGTCAAACGATCTTGGAGAGGCATTCCTTGTAATCTTCATAGCAAAGAGTCTATAACCCATGTTCTTATAGAATATCTGATGGATGACGATATGATATTTAGAACATGTTTAGAACACTTCTTTATAGTATAGATGATGGATGACTTTATACTATGAAGTTGATTTTCAATATATATATGTTCACTGGTTTTATACTTACCTAGTGGTCCTTTCCGCTACGGGACGTAGGGATAGATCCGATCCGTCCCGGGCAACGGTTTGGTGTTGGCATAGGGCCTGGAGTGTGTTTTTCTCTGACTGTCTGCTCAGAGACGGGGAGCCAGCAAGGGGCCTGAAGTGCATTTTCCTCTGACTGTCTGCTCAGAGACGGGGAGCTGGCATGGAGCCTGAAGTGTTATATCGGACATTCACTAGTGATTACTATTTTATGCGAATTATGATTTAAGACATTGCACAACATGCTAGGTTTCGGAAAACCTATGTTTATCATTATATTTGTGTTTTCATAAAACCTGGGGGTTAGTATGTTGATAACTATTTTATTATATATATATCAACTTGGTCCACTCATGTTTGTTTTGCGCCCCCTTCAGGACTTAGAATCAAGGCATACAATCCCGACGTCCAGGCACTTCCGCATCGGCATCTTCGAGTCCTCTTGGTGTAGGACCCACTCCTTTGTTTCATTCAATTTTATATTATTTTCTTCTAGTGTTCTAGATTAGAGGTGTGCTCTGAACACGGTCCTTATTTGCATATTCATTATTCTTTTATATTTAAAAACCTTATTTACCCTTGTTTTCAGCATTTGCACTCAATAATTGGCTTTCGTCACCCTCGGGTGTTGGCCAGCACGTGCCTATCCTGGTATTCAAGGAATATCAGGGTCGGGGCGTGTCATATAATCTGCAACATTTAATTCCTTTACTTGATTTTGTCTAGAATTCATTTAAAGATTTAAAATTTCTCTCCACTATGTTAATGGGTTTGATTTTTCCCCATCTGTTTTGCAGTTTGAGTCTACTGAGTTCTACGGATTCACTCAATTGCAATCATCTCTTCTGCAATTAATCTCTACCTTCATTGTTAGATGTATTAATACTTGGAATGTGGTTGATCATATTGCCATCTGTTTTGCAGTTGGATGTATTAATACTTGGAATGTGTGTGATCATATTGCCAGCGTTTGCTTATTTTTTTACAGCACTTGCACTGTGAAGTCAATGAAATCGGGTTCCTTTTGTCCAGTTTATAAAATTTCATATCGGCGCAAAAGTATGAATCATGATAATTTTATGTTTGTGCTGAACTATTAGAGGCTACAATTGTTTGATGTGAAATAATTTACTTTCATCATAATGAGTTTACTTCTAGGACAGTGCAACCTTTAAAGGGAAAGTATACGTTCAGACCAAAAAAAAAAGGGAAGGGATGCATCCATTCTTTTGTTTAAGATCAAAACTATTTATGAGTCATATTTATAAGCAAGTGTTTATATTAGGAGGTGGTATGTTGACTAAGCTTTTCAGTTAGAAGGTGGAGGTGTCTTTGAGGTTTAATACAAGATTCTTTAATATTAGATTAGATTTTCAAATTTTTTTAGTACATTAGGTCCGGTTTTGGGGGATTCATCTCTCTCTTTATTTCCTTATTTGTTTCATTTTCTCTTATTTTGGGGATTCACTTTCTGTTTTGTCTATTTGTTCTTTGTTTTAAGGTCTGTTGCTTTTTCTTTTTTTTGGGTTTTTTTTTTGTGGGTTTTCAGTTCGTTAATTTGTTTAGTTGTTGTTAATTTTACAATTTAATTGTTTCCCCTAATCTGGATTGTTAAGTTTTGGACATTTTTTTCCCCAAAATCCACATGAATTGAGCTTTAGTGCTTAAAGGAGACCTGGGTTTTATTCTATGCTAGAGTTTATAATGTATTTAGATTGGGAACACAATCTTTGCTGAATTCTAAGTTTTTATCAACTTTTGCATTTTTCCCCTTCAATGGTTTTAATTAATTGTTGTTTTAGTATAACTATTGCTCTCTAAGCTGCGAAATTAGGTGTAAGAAAATCTTTTGTATACTTATATGGAATTGTTGATTTCCATGGAAGCTAAGGATATGTATAATTGTATTGTGGGCTTTTGGATCTGTTGGTTTTTCTGTTTTGATCAAAATTGTTGATTTCTTTTGTGGAATTAGGTTTTAGCCTCGAATCGGAGACGTGGATGCTTGAGAACGTTTAATTTTTACATGCATTGTAAAGTGTTTGTAATTGTAAACATGTTTGAATCATACTTTCTATTTTTTTTTCATTTTTTGTTTGCATTTTTTAGGCAAGCAAAATGATGTAAACTGGCGATTTACAGTGGCTTTGAAAGGGTGATTTGCTCTTATAAAGTTCTGGAAGATAAACTGCTTTGGAGCCAGAAGCACTCAGTAGCCAGAACAGCAACCTTTCTCTCCCTTATCGGAAAATGGGTGCTTTCTAGGTGAGCCGCAATGCTCTTAATTTCAAGTAATGGGTTTGTGTTACTGTGCAGATCTGCCGAACTTCACATTTAGTTTCTTGGAATTGTTATTTTCTTTTTCAATTATATATTTTAGTGCTATTATGTTTGTCGTTCAGTGCTGGAAAATTGGAAAGCTCTAGAAACAATATAGTTTTTGAGCTAATGTGAAGATTTTGGGTTGAATACTTTGATTCCGTTTTTCTATTTGCACTTAGAAAAACAGAGGATTGTGGTTAATTATTGTGATGTGAAGATTATTCATGGTTTGAAAACCCGCAGCAAAGCGCGAGCATTCTTGTAGTTACTATAAGTTGTTTAGTTGCAATTGATTGGATGTTGGGTTAATCTTAATTTTGGTCAAGATAAATTACTATGGCTGTGGAAATTGAACTAAAAAGTACATTTCTTTTTTAAAATTGAATTTTTTATTTTTCCCACCAGGAAACAGGTGGTTACAAATTATTTACTCCACTAGTAAAAGAATTTGTTAAATTACTATGAGCTATTTAAATGTTTAATTTCCATTTGAAAACTTGGGGAATTCTAGGTATGTTGTTTACGGAAGAAGCTCAGTCTCAAATCCCTCAAACGATCTCTCATTTGCCACTTTGTCTTCGTAGGTTGTGGAACATGATTTTCTCTATCCGAGTGAATTTGTGCCTTATTAGGTTATGTTTATCCGCTAAGTGTGTATTTTGGAAATGCTTATTTGATGAATGCACTGGTATAATTGATCAGTAAATTACTATGATCGGTGTGTTTCTGTGGAAGTGATTCATGCCGGTTCTGGGTTACGGTTTTCGGGGTTAGATTTGTGAATCTATGGGATTTGCGGACAAAGAGTCTCCGGTTTTGGTGTGTTTCTGTGGAAGTGATTCATGCCGGTTCTGGATTACGGTTTTCGGGGTTAGATTTCTGAATCTATGGGATTTGCTGACAAAGAGTCTCTGGTTTTAGGGAGGGAGGGAGGATGCGCAAGATAGCAAGAGCCATCTGAAGGAGGCGCACGATATCCAGTCTCAGATTAAGAGTGCTATGCTCTCATGTGAGAGAGAGAGAGGTAATGGTGGAGGATGCGCAAGATTGCAAGAGGCCTCTGAAGGAGGCACACGATATCCAATCCCAGATTAAGAGTGCTATGATCTCATGCGTCCCTTACTTCAAAGAATTATCCGAGTAATCTCTCTCTCTCTCTCTCTCTCTCTCTCTCTCTCTCTCTCTATTCTCTCTGAATTTGTGTGCTTTTGATGAATTAATTTTAAATAGTTGTGATTTTTCTTTTCTTTTATGCCAAAATGTGTGGTATAAATTCATGCTGGATTGTTTTGTACTGAAAGTTTGTAACTTTGATTTTTGTTTTTTAGGGTTTACTCATGCGTATTATAACTTAAATAAGAGCCACTGTGTAGACAAGCGTGTTTAGGTGTGTGATTAACTGTTGATCATACTTAGGATTGGCATGTTTAGTTGTTTTGTTTGGGGTTCTTGGGGATTTTTTGGGTCGATATATTCTTAAGTTGCATTTAAAAGCTTAATTGCAGAGAACCAGTAGTAAATAAGTCACAGTATAATGATTTGATAATCTATGGATTATATGTCATTCTGCTTCGTAAATCAAATTGCTAATGCAGTGTGTTTGATTTGTTTCCTCTTGAGGTACTCTTGTGGCCGGCTGCCAGCCCAATGCGACTGATCGCATCCCGCAAGATTAATTTATCCACGTTCGAGAATTTCTCATTATACAATTCTACTGCATTTTTTCTTTAAATTTAAATTTAAATATTTTGGTTTTGGTTATGCAGTTTGTCGATTTCTGCTACGATAATAAGGGAATCCAGAGGATCGAGGCCAGTCGATCTGAGGTTTGTAATACTTGATCCCTTCCTTTCTCTCTTTCTGTGAACTTCTTGAAATTGACGATGCACATTCTGATTCTTGCTGTGTTTGGGAGCGGAGAAAGCTCTGGATTAGCTTTGATCACTTGAATTTTATCTTAGTTCAACACAGTCCAACTACATAAACCTACTATTGGGCTATTTCTATGGAGGGTTTATGTTTACTTTTGTTAGTCTATTGACAGTTTGATATGTCTATCATGTTGATGGAACTAAATTGTGAGTTAATTATGGTTTAGATTGTTGAATTTTGAATTCGGAATTCCCTTCGGAAACTATCACAAGCGATGTGCCTGTTGTGACTACAGGAATCAAAAGCGAGTGAAAGGTAAAGCTTTTCTCTCCAAACATTCATCGCCAGCAATTCCAACCAGAACCAGGTATATCTTTCCTCTTGCTTTCTCTCTAATATGTTCTATCCCAATTTCTCTTAGAAAGTAAGGGTTTTGGTTGCATTCTTGGATTAGATTTGTCTATATTCCATTGCATCTTAGTTTTCTCTAATATGAGTATTCGATTCTGATATATCATTTTCCTCCATTTGACATGATTTTGGATTATTAGGGACTCAGGCTTGCCTTCTGCATTTTCGTTGAAGAAAAGGCTTTTAGGTGAGTAATTTACTAATTTGGTTTTGATTATCAGCTAAAGAGAATAGGGGGTTTAATTTGTAATTATTTTGATGTGACGAAAAATTTTAGATTTGACAGATTTTTCCAGTTCAGGATGATAAAAATTTAGGGCCTTGATTTGTTGATGTGATTTCCACGTACTCTGAATTCAAATAGAAATGCAAGGATATATTAGATGTGTGAGTAAATTTTCAATCTTCATCTATTTGTTTAACCCTTAACGATTTGTGAATTATTGATTGATAATTTTATAGTATGTATGCTATTATTGATTTAGAAAAATTAGTTTGTTAAGTTTTTGGGCTTGGTTGTTTTGGCATGTTGATGTTATAAAGCTCCTCTTTATAGTTAGGTTGAAAATCATGTTAATGGATTCTTTTTTTTTTTTTTTTTTTTGTTGGTCCGATCTGTAATATATGAGATTGTTTTGCTTGAATCAAAATTTGATATTTTTTTTTGTGTGAAATTTTAATGAAATCACAAATTTGTCAGGTATACCTTAGATTCTTGGTTGCATATTCACCTTCCCACAGCTATTACATTGTCTCTTGATTGGATGGATTTTTATAATTTTCAGGATCTACAGTTGCAATGCTTTTGATGCATGAAGTAAGAAGGAAACTACTACTCTTATGGAGCTTCTTTGGCATGGTAAGCTGAAGTTGCATATCATTTTTTTCGTACACAGAATTCATTATCTTGCTATATTGGCCATTAGCAGTGTCTGACAATTGGCAAAGTGTACGAATAAATGTGTGGAAGTTTGAATTGTATAGATAAAAGTGAATTTTAACAACTCTAACTTAGATTTCTTGATAATTTGATCCGCATCTTTCTTTCATTTGTGTTCGGCTATTTTACTTTTTTTTTTCTTTACGTGAATACAACTATTGATCGAAAGTCACAAAAACTACTTAACGACCGCCAAAATGTTTGTGTTAAAAAGAACAGAAATGATATAAAGCTCAAATTTTGGGCACTTAAATATATGTTTTTTTTTTTTCAATTACAATTACTCGCATGAAAATTCAATTGGGTTTGTTCTGGTCTCCAAGAATTTTTCTTTGATAGGTTACTAATTAATTCATGTGGTGTGAGTTTAGTTTTTTCTTTTTTGCTTATGTAAGTATGATTTGGAATGAACATCTCAATTTGCTGTATATAAATTTGCAATATAAAAGCTCAAAGAGAGGTGAATTAGAAAAAATGGTGGGAGAACGATGGAATTGAGGAGTTGAGAGTTTACGGGATTTACCTGAATTTCCGTATGATGTCCCTGGTATTGCTAGATCATTGAGACTGACTGTCTGGTTGATTATTCACCAATTTGAAATATTTAAGTGTTAACTTTTCTTTAATTCCTTTAATTTTTGTATTGTCATTAGATTCGTTTCGTTTTTTTGCTTAATTTATCTTGAGAATGTTTGCATCTTAATACTTATTTTAAATATGTTAATTTGTCCCTTTTTTCTATAGAATGTTGTGCAATGTGAATGTTGGTTATTCTCGATCTTCAAATAGTGATTATTTGACGACTTCTCCAAACTTGGCTACTCAGCCTTTCAAATACATAGCTACGAATGAGAGAGGAACCAGATGAGCTAGAGTCGGGTTTGTACCATTCTAAATTATTCATTTAGATACCAATAAAAGATATGGGTTGCCAATTCAGTTTTGCTTTTTCTATGTCAATCATTTTCCTTTGATAGCACTTCGTTTTGATTTGTGAATGAACTATATACTTTATCTCGGGTCACAGTATAACGTTTAACGATCGAATTTGTAAGGTAGTTTAGCAATTTTTTCAAAAACTAATTATTCATGTCTGATGCTCAAGTATTATGTCTTCTATTTTTCTACTTTCCCTTTTCTATGTTTTCCTCTATGTAGTAGGTTGATTACTTGAAACGATGAGTATAATACTGATGGCGCAATATGATCTACAAATGAATGGTTTCTTATAGCATGCATATCCATACATAGCAAGCAAAGTTACACTTCATTGGTTCTTAGTTACTATGTAGTCTTTTTGGTTACTTTGTGTGAAAATTATTCATGACTATCGTGGATAATACATTCAGCACCCCCAGCAAGGCGCTGACACATTTTCTAGTCTATTCTAAAGTTGGAAGTTCAATTGGCACTATTCATCTTGCGTATTGAAATGGGCTTCGATTTTGATTTAATTACAATGTTGCAATTACTCTATTCTAAAGCCACTAGGTTTTAAAATAATTAAAAAATTCAAAGGAGGTCCGCTTGGGTTTGTTGTATTTGGGCCGTACATCAGGTGTTTGATGGGCTTTGGTCCGTGCTAAGTGAGGCCGGGCCTTTTAGGTGTCAAACGTCGGAAATACCCATCTACAGTTGAGATCGCACGGCTGGGATTGAAATTTTAAGTGGCAATTTGTCAGTTTCGTTTGGGACGGGATGGGGTTGATGGAGTGAGTTCGTGCAGATCTTCGATTCTGTCGTTGGAATTCCGGGATGGTCTGATATTCGGTGAGGGAAAGACAGGCAGAGAGAGGAAGAGAGAGGGAGGACTGGGGAAGCAAAGATGGCAGAGACAGAAAGAGGGAGCTGGTGCGAAAGAGAAAAAGTTGGGGGGGAGGGGGGGGGGGTGGTGCGGGGTTTGTGTTACAGTTGTCAAGTTCCCGGTTTTCCTCCTGAAATCATGCCTTCCTTTCGGTCAAACTGAGAGGGATGGGTATGAAATAATGTGAAGGTAGGTTTGTTGTATACTCTGACTCAAATTTAAAAATGGTTTCTTTACTTTTGAGTTTGGTTGAACAACAACATTTTCTACTTTCTGGAGTTCATCCTCTTTATTTTAGCCTAGGTTGACTCACTCCACTCTCTTTATGTCTCTCACTCAGTTCGAAGCTCTTCAACTTTTTTGCACAAATTGCTCAAAAATTCTTGCTCTCAAACATCTTAGATCCCTCACTCACCATTCTGGCATGGACGCCCCAAAGGTATATTTCTCTCATTGCTTTCGGAATTCTGTATATACATATACATATATATATATATATGCTGACATGTATGAAGATATTCACATATGGTAGAACTAAAAGGACAGTAGAATGCTCGAATAATGGAATAGAGTCGAGGTTATGGTGAGAAAGGACAGTAAATAGCTATCACTATGTGAATGTCTTATTTTCTTTCACTATGTAATAGCTATCACTAACTTTTGTTTTTACTGTCTTATTGTGTCTCCCATGTAGAGAGATAGAACTAAAAGGACAGTAAAAAGCTTGAATAGTGGAACGTAGTCGAGATTAGGCCCGACCTATCTGGTAATCTTTCTATTTTACCAAAGTCAAATTGCAATTTGTTTTGGAACAAAGAAAGATGCTCTGTTAATCTAGGAATATGGCACCCCTTTGGTTTTTGGAAAGGATTTGGTGCATTATCGAATAAGAGTTTTTTTTCTTTAGAATTATATAATCAATGCTTATGTATGCTATCTGCAGATGATACAGTAACAACTGCAAATACGTTGGGAGGAAGATCATATTCCTTTTGTGGTGCAGGTGGAGTTTGTTATTGTATGCGGTTCTTTTCATTTTATGGCCATATGAAGTTGCAGATGCAAATATTTCTTAAGGTGGTTTTCTTCACTATGAACAGATTCATACACGCATACTTATTCACGCTTGCACACAAACTTTGGGGTTCCTAAGATTTTCCCTTGGGTTTCATAGGTACATGATGATCCTTCTAACGCTCCAGTTTGATGGTCCAACTCAATGGGTGAGTAATGTCGTTTATTTTCATGCGCTTGTTTTCTGGAAGTTCATTCCTCTTTTGGGATATATGAATATATAGGCATTGTTTAAATTACAATATTTTATTAAGTTAAATTGTTTAAATTACTTATTTATAATTTTAGCCCTTGCGCCACTTGGAGGGACTCCTGGTAGAGCTCATAGCAATTGATGCAAGCCCATCTCCAACCAGAGGGAATGAACAGTGCATGGCATATTTCTTACCGTCTCTAACCAAGGGACCAGAGGGCCATAGGCCAAACATAGGCCTCTGATAAAAAATCATCTACAACCGAGGGTCAAAGGGCTATAGAGTCAAACATAATTTATTATTTAAATTTAAAAACTACAACTTAAGTTTAAAAAACAACTACAACAAACTAAATGTAATATAATTAAATATTTAAAATAAATTGTGAAATGAAAATGCTTATGAAAGGAACTACAACTACATCCATTATAATTTTCCCACATCAGCCATGGGAGATGAATGAGCAAGGAAACATGCTTATAAAATGAACACCCCAACTTTGACCAAATCACCTTTCTAGCCCCAAAAAACCTAAACCCATAATTAAATATTATTTAGAAAATTTTGGCCCCAAAAAAAAAGAAAAAATTAAATCCAATTGTAACTTATGTGAGCATGACGTTAGCTAGTCGTTGCTAGCTGGCATCACGCTGACGTCAGCTAGCCATTGGTTTTGAATATGTGGCCTGGCTCAGGGCTGGATGGCTGGTTCCTTTAGGCCAGCCAATTGGCCCTTTGGCCCTTTTTTGTCTAGTGGGGTCCATGAGCCCTTTGACCTGGCTCTAGGTTGGAGACGGTTTTCGGGTTATTTTCGGCCCTTTGGACCTTTCGGTTGGAGATGGCCTAAGTCCCTTACTTCCATAATAAGGTAGTAGAGCTCATAGCAATTGCTGTAAGTCCCCTTACTTCCGTAATGCGGACACTTACATTTATGATCATTTTTAAGTTAGGTGTTGAAAAACTACTTGAGAATTCCATGAACATGGAAAGCATAACATCTTGGTTACTTGGAGAGTCAAATATATGGCCATTACATTAACAATGGAAATGTAGTGTTAGTTGTACTATGAATACTATTATTTTTATTACTTTTCAAACAATTCAGAGTTATTTATTTAGACATATTTTATATGTTATAGTCTATCATCCCAAAAACCTCCCCTCGCTTCTCACAAGGCTAGAGTGAAAAATAAAGAACAAGAATAATTTTCTGTTTTGATTTTTTCGTTCCCAAGAATATGATTTTTCATTTTATTGCTGGATATTGACCTGAATAATCTGCTTTGTTGTCTTAGAGGGTAAGCAAGGGAAGCAACCTTTCGACATTGATCTCACACCCTATCGAGATTAGAAGAATTGAAGCTACTCTATTGGCAAGAATGGTGGTATAACACATTTAAGTATTTGTCTGTTTTTCTTTTGTTACCCATTACTGTGAATCAGTGGTGTGTAAAAGCCCATCCTAGAGTAAAAAGGAGAGCACATCCACCCTCAGTTAGTGGCACTTTTCTATTGTTTCTGTACTATTCATCTCCTATCATAGCAATTAGGTGATGTCTGTGTCTTATGTATTACATTACATGTGTTGCAACTTGCCAGTATTATGCTGCCTTCATATTGCCAGTAATACAAATATACAATAGCAGAGGCATACCAAGATCTATTATTTGGTGTCCTTTCCATATTGTATTTACTTTACATCCTATCAAAGCAATTAGGTCATGTTCTGCTATTGTTTGCGTGTTCAGTGCATACGTACATATGTCTTGAGGTTTTACATAATCTAATGCATACATTTGATCTCTGTTATTTTTGTTTTTGAGAGTGTCTGATAGTTTGAAAACCCGCAATAGAGCGCGGGTAATTTTTCTAGTTAAGTTCTATGATTGGTCACTTCTTTTCTTTCTTGTAATTTATTGTTTAGTATCACACTCATAAGTTTAATATATTCAACTCAAAAATAAGAATCACTCTCATTGCACTCAAATTTTCTGACCCACTATAGGAGTTTGATTCCTATATTATTGATATCACTCTCAATTCTCCAACGCACTATAGAAGGCCTTACAATCTTTTGATAGAAGAGTTTAGGTTTAAAAAATTAAAATACATATATATATATATATATATATATATATATATGGTTTAGCACACATGCAATACGATGAAATCAAAATACTTAAAACAAAAAAATAAGAAAAACTAGTGCAACTTTCGCAGGGAACTCGCTTACCATAAACACATGCAGCAGACCTTTTAAATCCATAAATGACTCTAATGGGACAAGTGAAGTATGTTGAGGGTTTTCAAAGACATTATCCACAAACATTATATGATAGTTACGATGATCGACACTCAATGACTATAAGGAGATCCATTACTCTAGGGTTGTCAGCGACTGAACTGATTGTGCCGAGGACTCTGTCCAATCCATTTAAAAAGTATGGCCCTAAATAGAGGGTGCTTTGCACATGGCGCATTCGGAAGACCACTTGTATGGAAAATGAATAGTAAAGATTGATATATGAAATCAAACGGTGAAGATTATTTTAAAAAGGGACTACTTGGTAGGTTGAAATACCGAAAACAAATCTTATGCAATGCAGATCGATGGCTTCTATAGGTCATTAATTAATCTCTTTCTCCTTCCACAAAATAACAAATATATATTTATGAGGTAATATATATTTGCGATGTTTTCAACGGATTTGGTTTCTTGCCGGATTCCTTCCCTGGGGATTCTAAGGATCAACGAACACGGACCGTTGATAAAAAATCGTGCGGTCCTAATTAAATGCTTTTTATAGTTTTAAAAGTAAAGCAGCATCGTTTTGCGTGAAAAATATAAAAAAGGATAAAATTGTGACCGCACGATTTTTTATCCACGGTCCATGTTCGTTGTGGAGGGAATCCGGCGAGGATCCAAATCCATTTTCAACAACTAAGTTGGTTAATTAGCTGTAGTCATTGGACTGAAGCCAGATTCGATTGAATAGCTTAGCTCATTGCAGGGCTTTAACTAATGTGGAGACACTGGCAGGTAACCGAAAGAAACAATGTAGAAAATGAACTCTTTCGATTTTCGTACATGTGGAATTCACATATTGATTGTATCTTATGTACACAAAGAAACATTCAAACGCTTAATCAGTCATTATTAGTTGTGACAATCATTTCACAACTAAGTAAAATGAATAATGAAATGTTTAGTTTTACTAGTACTAAGCATTGATCCCACACCCGAGCAAAGAGTTTAAAACATTCCCCTCCGATTTGGCCTCCATTCCAAAGAAAAGAAACAAATAAACAATCAAAATTTGCAAAAATTCACTTGAAAATTATTTGAATTCTTGGAATTGGCGTGAGCTTTGAACTTAGTCAAGAATTCGAGTATTCCCCTTCTCCGTGCCCAGAGTTTGAACAATCCCCTCCCGTCTTGGCCTCATTTTAGAGACAATTAAGAAGAAAAAAATATAGAGTTGTAAAAGGACACCGGCATCTCTAGTGGACAGATCCAAATATGAGATATAAAAGCATATTTACTTCTCATTTTGCATCTTCAAAAGATGTGAATGTGGAGTTAACGGAGGAGATGTAAATTGGAGACTTTTTTTTTTTTTTTTTCTCTCTCTCTATAACTCACAAAAACCCCGTTCTATAGATGTAAAAAAAATGTGTATTTACATTTTTGTTTGGGAGAAAACGATATAGTTATATAAATACAATTTATATGCTAGTATTAGGAATAGTACACTTCTTTGAAATATGTCCGATGACTATCTTTCGACGTTAATATGAGTAAGCCCGAAAAATCTGGCCTAATAAACAAAGCCCAATCCATTTTTTTGGACCGTTTCTCAATTAATGTGTGTCATTTTGTAAATTTCAGTTCGATTTCGGTTTTATTTTTTAGTTAACCAAAATTTCAGTTTGGTTTTTTATTTGGCATTTTCGGTTTGGTTACCAAACCGAAACCTTCTAATTCTGTTATTAATCCAGTTAGTTTAATTTTGGAGAGGATCTCTGTTTTCAGAAGCAACTCCAAAGTCTGTCCTGAGTCTCCTGACACTCATGGGATTGAAGGGATTAACTTCGTACCATTTGAAAAGCCATTTGCAGGTATTCTTTGCTGATTCTTTATTTGTTTTATTTTGTTCAATTTAACACACATCTTCAGTCACTCTCACTTTGCTAAACTCGTCAATTCACAGAAGTATAGGCTTCGACAGCATGCTCGGAAACAGAACTCCATCGAAGAACAAACCCGAAAGAATAACGGTGAACTAGTGGAAACAAATGCCTAAAAGTAACTGATATGAAGAATTCATAATCTACTAATGCCTTTGTATTTTAAAATTCTAGGGGATTCATATGTACATTTCAGTAATCTTCATTCCACAAGTTCTGGCATCACATCATCAGGAGGTGCGAAAACCGAACAAGGGTACGTGAAACCAGCACTTCTCGGTTCCGCTTTGATTACAGCTTGGTTTGCCAGTACTTAACTGCTATTAAAATTGCATTCCTGTTTGTGCATTTCGTATAGTCCTCCTCTTGTAGTGCTCTGGATACCGTTGTTGCCATCCATGTCTTTCAGATCACTCTGAAAATTTACTTGCTTTTGTCTTTGTTCTTTTACATTTTATTTGTTTAAAGTTCAACCATTCACAAAAGATGCTTAAGCTAGTTAATGATCACATATTTTCTGTTTCGATTGTTTCGAGCGCTTGGATACTAACGGTAATATACTGAAACTAGAACCATTCCATTGTCGGAGGCTCTCAAGTGTCAGATTGAAGTACAAAACAGATTGCAAGAGCAGCTTGTGGTATGTTGCTTTGCTATTATTTACCTAAACCCGAACCTAGTGTCCAAATAATCTTCTAGCCTTTACTTGTGACGATGTGAAAGGCGAATCCCACATCGAAGGCTTAATAAACCTTGCAGTGGCTTCTAAGGAGGGCCACTGCCCCTTTCTATTTCGTTTTGGATAGAACCTCAACATTCATATGGCCCATCTTCTGATCATTGTTGCTACCTTTTAAAATAGGTTCAAAAGAAGTTGCAGATGAGAATTGAAGCTCAAGAGAAGTACTTGCAAGCTATATTGGAGAAGGCCCAAAAGGGTCTCACCCTCGACGTAAAAGGGTCCCATAATATAGAAGCAACAAGAGCACAATTAACGGATTTCAATTTGGCTCTATCGAATTTTCTGGAGAATATGAGCGAACAAGATCGAAGAGGAAACACAGCAGAGATTATGAATGATGCTTATAAGAACAATGGATCAACTTTTCAGATTTATGAACATGGAATAAGAGAAGAAAATAAAGATACAAAGCTTAAGGTTGAGGGGGGTTCCATACATTTTGACTTCAATAGCAAAGGAAGCTATGATTATGTTGGTCCAAATGGAGGTGAATTCGAAACAAGAAGCTTTCGTTTACAAGATACTACAACACTTTGATGACAAAGACTTTAGCACTCTTTTGGATGCCTATAAATTTTTTTTGTTCACATAGCTGCTTGTATTCTATCTGAAAGAAGTTGCTAAATGCTAATATATTATACATGTTAGCAAAAAAAGAAAAAAAATTGGCTTTTATTTGTATAATGTTATTTAGCTTTTTTTTTTTTTTTTTGACAGATGTATCGTTTATTATTCAGAGTTTCATAGAAAATAAATTTTATTTACACTCAATAATCTTCTTTTCATACCCAACTTGAAAATTTTGTCCCGCAAACTTACCTTTTTACCCTCAAATACAAAATTGACGAACTCAAAAAAAAAAAAAAAAAAAAAAAACAGACACATAAACCCACCCAACCACCTACTGTGGCAGTAATCGGATTTGATTCCGCGTCATTCCAAAAATTGTTGTCGCCGACCTATTTATCTTGTCAATGTTCAATTCTTCGTGCTCATCTCTATGAGGCTAGATTTTGGTCTGGCTACTATTTCCTTAAAACTTAATGAACCAATTAAAAAAAAACTGGTATGATCTTGCAATTCGTGGAATAAGGATGCAGTCCCAAACGTGGACAAGTTAAAAAGCTATATATGCTTTCAAGGATGACAAAGCTGGTAGTCATTTGAAATTGGGTGAAGAGGGAATTGAGGAGAGATCAAAATTTGAGAGAGAGAGAGTGATCAATATCTATATCAGAAGCCCTATATTTCTCTGATGAACCCAGTCAGCTCAGGCAACACGATCTCCCAATTTCGTCGAAGGCCACAACCCTCCTCCAATATCATTTTACTGTCCTTCTCCACCCTCCGTTAATCCATCTTTTCAATTTCCAACAACCCACCCAACTGTCAATTGGGGCTCTCTGGGCCACTTCGACCCACCCATTCGCTAGTTGATAATAACTTTCTGCATCCTTTTTTTCATTAGGGCATAATGGGAATATAAAATTAAAAAAAAAATTACTAGTGGTAAAGATAAGTTAACTGGGTCTAAATAAAATTTTCCTTTATAGAAATTGGTTTTTATTTGTATACTTCTATTTAACGAGATAAAAAATTGACTTTTATCTGATAAAACCCTAGTTGATGCAAGATATCAATCTTCTCTTCTCACTTATTTAGAATGGAGTAGCAAGTTTCAAGTTCCTTCTCGATTTCTTAATTAATTTATTTAGTATTCAAAGCTACCAAAATATGGAATTAAAGTCATACATACATTAACTCTGAAGAAAAACAACTTTTATTGAACACTACAACACATCAGACATAACCACACAGCTCATACGATCTGTGTTTATTGGTTTATAACACACACGTAATACAGTGAAACTAAAATGCTTAGGGGAAAAAAAAAGACACTAGCAATGAAAACTAATGCCACTTTCACTAGGAACTAGATTGCATTGTGCGCATAGATGACCTTGATGGGACTAGTAAAGTCTCGTGAGAGTTTCCAGAGACATTACCCACAAACATCATGTGATAGTTATGATCATGGACGCCCAATGGTTGTAAAGAGATCCACTCCGTAAGCGTCAAGGTCTGGCTTGACTGCGCAGAGGATTGCGTCCGAACCATCTATATCAATGTCTGGCCTTAAATAAAGGTTTCTGTTCACATGGTGCACTCGGAAGATCACTTGTGTGTCGTTGGTTGATTCGGATATCTTAAGCTCGAACAATGTGGAATCTTCATCATCCGTTTCATTGTTTGTGTACATAGCCCTCCTCTACTGGTGCTTTGGATGCCGTTGTTGCCATCCATGTCTTTCGGATCACCTTGAAAATTTACTTTCTTTTGTCTTTTGTTCTTTTAGATTTTACTATAAAGAGGCCCGCGCAATGCTGCTGGTTTTGAAACTGTATAAAACGTAGCAAAAAGAAAATGGGTTTGTTTCTTCACTTTGTTCCTCCTCCTTTCTTCTGATACGTAACTGGTTTGACACTTTCCACAGTTCCAAAGCCGCCTGCTTGAGAAAACCAGTTTCTGCCAGCTCAACAAACCCTGCTTCTCCAAGATGGTTCTGAACAAAGCTTCACCTGCATCACTCACTCCCTGGTCTATACACCGACATGCAACTTTTGATTTGATTATTATATATTTTATTATGTCGATACACTACTATGGAAACAAAAATAATTACACAATACAATTCAAAAGGTCAGTGATATGAAATACTTCAGATTAAAATACTTGTGACACAACTCCATACTTGCCAACATGGAAGCAAAAGGAGGAAAGGAATGCATATTCTACTTTACCTTCAGGGTAAGCACTTGAAAGCTCTTTTTGGACTACTGTGTGCTCATCCTAATTTTGTGATCGCTCAAATTCAAGTGTAGCCTCTCTTTTCTAGTGAGAGATTCCACTGCAGCCTGATAGGCATATTCAAACATTTAATAATCTACAGAAAATAACTAAACTCAGCCATATTAAATATGGAACCCACTTACTTACCATTTATCTTATCCAACTCTTATTTCGGTTTCTCTGTTAAAGCTTCGCAATAATCTAATCCAATTACTCTTCCTTGCTTTTTAATGAGATCCCTACAATCAAACAAACATAATTATTCTAGTAAACACCTTCGAATTCAAACACATAAAAGATGTTATTCATACCCATATCGTTGCATTGCCGTTCTGATCTTGAAAAATTAAAATTAATAATAATCGTTCAAATCATATTACAATGTATGATCATCAATAAATTTAAGAAAATTTAAAATGAATTCAATTCACTCCAAACGATGATATTATATGTTCACGTATATATTAACAACAAAAAATTCAGTTTCTAGCCATTGGGATAAATATGAGAAAAGAAAACATTAATTCGAGTGTCTACACATATGAACATCGCATAAAAATCATAACAAAATCCAAATCAGT